ATGGCAAAAACAGGAAGGCATAACAAAGACAGAAAAAACAACGCTGGCTTTGGAGAGAGGTGCACTCAACGTCATGGTGGGTTTTGTTCTGTGGACACCTGCCCATGATTGGGCCACTGAGAGAGGGGCTGGTGTTGGGCTCCTTGTGTGGGAGGTAGCTATAAATATGGCAGCATCTTGAGGGCTCAAGGATGACGTTCGGAGTTGTGTGGGTAACTGTAATGGGCAGCAAATTAGGCAGAGGCACAGTTTGGGGCAGGGAGTTACAAGTTTGTGTGGCTGGGCCCAAGCTGTTTGCAGGGCCTGTGCGTGTGGTAAAATGCTTTCCTCTGCTCATTGCCTCCTCCTTGCTGCCTCCCAGCGGAAGAAGCTGCGGTATTCAGACCTGGACTTTGAGGTGAGTGCAGTGTGTGTTAGGGGATGGAGCATCTGTCCTTGGAGGGCCACTGTAGAGTCTGACCCCAGGACGCTGACCGACCCTGTGGTTTCTGTGGGATCCTCTCACTAGTCCCTCCTGCCCAGGCCCTGGGCTCTGGGGCAGAGAGCCAGCCAGCTTTCTCCCAGAGGGGTTGGCTGTAGGCAGAGAGGTGGGGCCCAGGCTGCTGAGCGTCCCGGGCAGGGGCTGCGGAGATGGGACCATGGTGCTGGCCCAGGGGGGCACTCCACTGACATCCAGTGGCTCCTAGAAGGTGATGCACACCCGGAAACGGCACTCGGAGCTGTACCATGAGCTCAACCAGAAGTTCCACACTTTCGACCGCTACCGCAGCCAGTCTGCAGCCAAGGTGAGGGCTCCTCTGTGGCTGCCCCTCCGTGAGGCCCAGGGCTTCACCTCTGACCTGTGGCCCCAGTGGAATGTGTCCTTGGGTAGGGCAGAGAATGGAGCACATGCAGCATGAGTTCCTGAGCTGGAGGGAGACGGGGGTTGGAGGTGTTTGTGCCCTCGTGCCATGCCTGGGCAGCCTTAGCCTGCCTCTCCGAGGGCCTCTTCTCAGCCCAGGCAACAGTTCTGGCCTGCATAGGAGTGGGAAGGCGCCATGGACTGCGAGCAGCAGACAGGAGACCCGGTCTCAGGGGCCACTGAGCACAGGGATCAGGAGGCCCAACTGTCCAGCCAGGCCAATCCACATTTGAACTCTGCTTCGACCCTTGATTGCTCAGTCACTTTGGGCAACACTGGCCCTCTCGGGCATCCTCAGTTTGTTCTGAACAGTGGGTGGGTAAGAAGATACTGGCCCTCCCCACGGGTTCTTCCTGCTCCTTCCACAGGAGAAGCCCAGCCCTGGGGAGCGTCCTGGCCTGTCCCAACATCGGCGGCATCAAAGCTGGAGCACCTTCAAATCTATGACACTGGGCTCACTGCCCCCCAAGCCCCGAGAACGGCTGGCCCTGCACCGGGCAGCAGCCTGGGAGCCCACAGAACCACCAGATGGTGACTTCCAGACAGAGGTGTGAGTGCCACGCCGGACTGCCCACTGCACAGAAATATATATCTCTCTATTTTCACACTCCACTTTGGAACTACCCAGGAGCCAGCGCCCCCTCCCCCTCCCGAGGGCTGGGCAGGAGGCACAGAGGACTCAGCCAGGCTGGGAGAGCCAGACATGGTGTGGCCTGGGGGCCAGGGCCCCTCCTTGTTTCCAAAGGCCCCTTAGCCATGGAGCCCCGTCTTTACCCCAGCCTGTCTGTCCCTGTCCTGGGCTGGGGAGGGGGGAGGGGAACTTTGTTGGGAATAAACTTCACTCTGTGGATTTGGCTGCTGAGCTGCTTGCTTCCTCCAGGCGAAGACCCCGTCTTGGCCCGGACTGTCCCTCCGTCTTCTTAGTTCATCCCACTTGGTCTCATCACATTCGTGATGGGATCAGACCAGCCCGGACTAGGAGGGACTGGCCAGCTCTGACCCCGTCTTTGCTGTTGGCTCCCGGGATGACATTGCGCACACCACTTACCCAGTGTGGGCTGGGGTGAAAAGATTGGAATTATGGGATGGGGCTCTATCACTGGCTATACCCTGTGATTGCCATAGTTGTGGCTGCCATTCACTGGGGCACAGGGGCCAGACTGCCTGAGCTGGGTTGCTGTGGGGACAAGGGATCAGGTGTGTTCCAGGAGCTTTACACACACGGCCCTCGGCCCCTCACAACAGCTCTGCCGGGAGGTGTTCAGTTGCCCATTTATTGGGGGGAAAATGAGGCCAGAGATGGAAAGTGACTTGCTCGGTGCAGTCAGAGGCAGCGCTGAGGCTTAAACCCAGGCTTGCTGAAGGTGGAGCTTCAGCTCAGCTTCTTAAGACCTGAGCTTCAAGACTGCAGGGAGCTGCAGGAGCTGGGTGTGGAGGAGCCTCAGGTGGCAGGCTGGCCAGCTTCCGGTGGATGTGGGTGGAGGAGGCTGGCTTGGGGCCGGAGGCCAGGACCTGGAGACACACTGCTGGATTACAGTCTTATACACGGGAGTGAGCAGACACTTGCTCGGCCCTGAGTACCCAGGAAGAGGGTACAGAGGAGCAGCACATGGAAACACCTTGCGTTGTGGTGACATGGATCTTCTAAAGTTGGATGGCATCTGGAGCAGGGCGCAGTTAGCAGTGGCCATGGGTGCTTCTGCTGTTGGCCTGGTCACTTAGCAATGTGGTCACCTCAGTCCCTCCTAGGGGTTAGATGATGAAGCGATAGATGGCTGGAGTGGGATGTCAGCAGCCGACGGCCTCCTTGAGGGGGCTGGAGGAGGGGTGGCAGCCTCTCCAGAGTTCTGCAGCCCTTGATGGCACAGGCTTACTCTCAGCCCTGTTGGAATCTTGCCTGAGGTGGGGCCTGGCCAAAAGCAGTGTGTGGCAGAGTCCTCCAGGTCTGTGCTCCTGGCCCTCAGCACTCTGGTGACTCCTCCACGTCCCTTCCCTCAGGAAGCCCCAGCAGTTAATTGTACAAAGCACTACCTCATCTGATTGAAGACGGGGATTATGACTCCTGCCTTTTACAAGTGAGATTGAGGCTCAGCGAAGGAATGTGACTTTCCCAAACTTCCAGAGCTTATAAGTGACTGTCCTGGGGTGTGGCTGGGAGAGGCAGAGTCTGATGCCAGCCAGTTTCAGCACGAGCTGTGGGCATGCAGAGTGAGGGCCCACATCTTTCCATCCCCTCTCAGTTTGCTCTGTGTGTGGGCCTTATCCTTTTAGGTTTCCTCATCCCCTGGGCCCACCAAGCTTCCTTCTCTCAGCTCCCATCATTCAATTTTGCCCCTAGAGGAGAAGAAACTTTCCTCTTGAATTCCAATTAGAAAACCCCTCAGGAAGGCAGGGCTCTGATTGGCCCTAGGCACTGTGATTGGCAGCCCTTTCAGGAGTCCCTGTAGAGACGAGCAGGGGAGCAGATCTTCAGAAAAGGACTCTTTCCTAGAAGGAGGGTGATGGGTTTGCACAAACAAAGCCCTGTCCCTGACCTTGTGCCAGCAGACCCCACATCACGTCCTGGCTGGGCTCACATCTCCAAGCCACCCCTGCCGCCACCGAATGGATTTCTTAGTCCCTTTCCCCATGCTCCTGCCCTTCCTTCCCAGCTCTGGACTCCACAGGCGGGGCTGAGCTGTGATGTGTACTCCCCTCCCCTCTGGTCCTTTCTTCCTTTGCATCTGGTTCCAGGAAGATGTTGCATCCACCTTGTTGATTCTGAGCCATTAGCAACCTCAGCTGCCAGCAGATACTTCTAACAGCTTTAAGGTTCCCCACTTTAAGACAGAGCTTTCCTCAAGTGGGGCCTGTGCCCTTGGGGACCCCAGAGTCCCGGCACAGACTTGCTGTGTGACCTTGAACAGGCAACAACCCTGTCTCACTTGGGTTTCCTTGCTTGTAAAATGAATTGGCTGGTAGCCCTTCCATTCGGGCTGATTTCTAACAACCTGCCATTTGTTCCCTGGGCTTGAATTTCCTTTTCTCTTCTCTCCTTTTCTCCCTTTCTTCTCTCTTCTCCCTCTCCCTCTCCTCTTTTTCTCTCTCCTCCCCCCTCCTCTTTTTTCCCCTCAGTACTGGGAATTGAACTCAGGGCTTTTACACTGAACCACATCCCAGCTCCTCTCCCCTTTTTGGAGAGAGCATCACTAAATTACCCAAGCTGAGCTTTAATTTTCAATCCTCCTGCCTCAACCTCCCAGGGTGCTGGGGCTATAGGTGTGTACCACCACACCCAGTTGCCTAAGCCTCAGCTTCTAATTGCATTGCCCTTATTTTTTCAGCTTCCACTCACCAGCCTTTCATCAGTGGCTCAAAAGTGATCATTCCAAAATGTAAACTGGAGAGGGCCACTGCCCTGCTCAGAAGCGTTCTGTGGCTCCTAGAATTAGCCTAGAAAGCAAAATCCTAGGTCATGTGGGCCTTTCCTACCTCCCTTGGCCCATCTCTCATCTCCAAGCCTGCTATGCACCTTTCCTTCTGCCTGCACTGCCTTCTGTACTGGAAAACTCTCCTTCCTCCTTCCAGACCCTGCTCAGGTAGCCCTCCTCTGTGATGCTGCTCTTCCTGAACCCCCAGCCCACCAGTCAGCATTCACTGGCCCCCCTCAGCCCTTGGTGCACACTGTCACCGCCGCAGTGATGACACGGAGTAGCTATCATCTGTGTCCACCTGGCTTCAAGGTGTGTGCATGCAGCCAGACCCCATGGAGTAGGCCTCAGCAGGCCTCTACTGAGTGGGAAGACAGAATACAAAGGGCTCTCTGAGCCTTGGTTTCCTCATCTGCCGAGTGGGGATATTGATAACCCCTACTCAGGTATTCAGAGCATGATTTGAGATGATTCATTCTTTCTGTCTCTGTCCCCTGCCCCACCCCATTTCTCCCCTGTGCATGCTAGGCAGCTGTGGATCTAGCTCAGTGGCAAAACACTTGCCCAGCATGTGGGAAGCTCTAGGTTTGATCCCCAGCAACCACCCCCACCAGCTCCCCTCCAAAAACAAACAACTGGGGTCTGCGGATTTAGCTCAGCGGCACAGCGCCTGCCTGGCAAGTGTGAGGTCTTGAGTTCGATTCCTGGTACCGGGGGGGAAAAAAAAAAAACTGGGAAATATTTTGTAGCTGCTGACTCCTGCAAGTTATTCCTTCCTGGGCCTCAGTGGTATCTCGGGAACTGGGACGCTGTCCAGGGTGCTGAAAGGGACTTCTCTTCCAGGAAATAAGGAGGGAAGACGGCAAGGCGCACCCAAGGTCAGCAACAGCCTGTCCTTGTCCTCTAGACTGTGCGGTCCTGGAGGAGCAGACCAATTTTATCTTACTCCAAGGGAATGTCCAAAAAATATTATGTAAACTTACATAACTTTTAAAATTTTAGTAAATTTTTTAAAAGTTTTAAAAGTTGAAATTAATTTTAATAATAGATTTAACCCAATATATTAAAATTTTCATTTTGACATATAATCAATATAAAACATTACCAAATAGTTTACATTCCTTTTTCATGCTAAGTTCTTGAGCTCTCTTGTGTGTTTTGTGCACACAACACGTCTCAATTCTGTCTCGCCACATTGCACATGCTCAGTAGTCACTTGTGGCTGGTGGCTGCCACACTGGACAGCTCAGCTATAGGCAGGGCAAATGTGGTTCCCTTGGACAAGTCTTTTCAGCGTCCTTTGATAAAAGAAGGCATCTCAGCATGACCTACCTTACTGCACACAGGTCCTAGGAAGTGATTTACTATGGTGCCAGCTCAAGAGGTCTGTATCACTCAGTTTTCCCCCTTACTAAGACCCACAACTTAAAGAATGAAAGGCTTAACTTAGCTCATCATTTAAGGAGATTCAGTCCATGGTACAAGGCTGGCTCTAAGGTACAAACCTTATGGTTGAAGGCTATGCTGGAGCAAAGATTTTTAGTTCATGGCATCCAGGAAGCAGAACAGACAGACGGTGCCAGAGAGGAACAGGCAAAGGATTATATATATAGCACCCCAGACCACACCGCTAAGACACACCCAGACATACCCAGGATCATGCTGTACTAATCTGCTAGCCATTTCTTAATCCATTGAAGTTAACATTTCAGGGAAACAGCCACAAGGTCCCAAATCTCTTGAAATCTAGATATTCTGGGGGTACAAGTGGGCACAGAGAAAGTGTGGGGAAGTAGCAGAAAGTCCTGAGGATACCTGTGGACTGGTATCAGGCTTGTCTCAGCAGGGCTGGGGAAATGTTGTATTCCCTCTCCTGCCCCTATCCCCCATAGCCTGTCATCTCCCCTCCCACCTGCAAGCCCCAGACCCTGGGAGAAGGGAAGCAGAATGGGGCTGGCACTTGAGCACACATTAAAATTCAATTGGGTTTCATTCACCTCCATTAGGTACCAATTAAAAGGAAATTAGGTGGTCTGAGGAGGGACCTGTGGCAGGATGCTGCTGACTTCTGCTTTCTGGACTTGTTTTCCTCTCTACTTCTTCACGCCCACCTTGGCAGTTTCATGGGGGCCACAGTTGGGACTTTCTAGTCCCCCAATCTGTACCCCTCAAGGGTGCCTACTCCAGAAAAATCACCCCCTCTCAGATTCTCAAGACATGCTAAAGGTCCAGAGCAAGGGAGACTCCACTGAGGACTTTTGTTGTTTAAGGCTAGTGGGAAACCAAAGGAGGACAGCAAGTAGAGGATTAGCTAGTGAGATTTATATATTAAGAGGATGCCTAGGTGGATATGAAATGGATTGGGAGGTCTCGAGTGAGGCTAGATTCGGAGAGACTAGTAAAGAGCACATGAAAGACGTCAGAGGAGTGCTGTGGTGGAGGAAGGGGGTCTGTGTGTGTGCGTAATGAGTAGAGCTGTCAGCCATGCTGTGGGCTTGGCAGAGGAGAGGAGCCATCGGTGACTCTTGGGCTTCTGTCTCACCCATCTGGATGGGTGACCATGCCATTCGCTTGGAGGCACTGAAAAAGACCATCTTTGGGGAAGACAGCTGTAAATTTGGTCTTGGAAATGTTAACTTTAAAATAGTCAAGGAAAGATTTTGAGTAGAAAGTAAGTGGTTGAAGACACAGAGCTGGAACTCAGGGGGTGCTGGCTAGGGCTGTTGACATGGCAGGAAGCCAGGCTGGAGTGGGATGTCAAGTGAGTGGAAGGTGAAGACATGAAAGTAGTGTAGACAGTTCTTAAGGTGGAGCTCTGAAAAGGGGGAGGAAAAACTCAGGACCTGCCGTAGGCTCTGAAGGGAAATTAGCTGCGGAGAATGTCCTTATCCCTCCCCAAAATCCTACATAATGACAAACCAAAAATAACCAGCCCACCACCCTGAAAGGCAGGGTTCTGAGACCCAGAAGTGGATACCATCATGGGGATCAATTTGCTTACATATGGGGCTAAGGGCAGCCACAGTTCCTGGAGCGGGGCCAAGGGGAGTGTTGGGGGGCACTCCACAAATTCTGACTGTAGGACTTACAGGAGGAGGGAATGCTGGACTCCCTGAGGAAGCTGCCTGGTGCAAGATGAAGATGCAGGCACATCACCCCAGGCTCCCTGCAACCCCCACCCTGCCCCAGCTCCTAAGCGGGCAAGAGCAGGGACAGACCCTCCCCCACCTCAGGCCTCAGCTTCCCACTGGGTCTGCTCCAGGTTGGTATGTCCCCGTCTCCTGTGGTGGCACTGCACAACTCAGCCCATCAATCCAGGCGTCCCTAGAGTCAACCAAAAAAGTCAATATTTAATTTGGGCACCATGTTAATGCCATCGATCATCAGCTCCCCCTCCCACTTCCTTGGGCTCATTTGTCACTTCTCACTAGCTGCATGCCCTGGGGGCACGATGGGGTGCTGGAACCCAGTGGCAGCAGAGCTCAGCCTGGGCTTGGCTTGGGGAAACTGGCTCGCATGTGGGGCAAGAGCTCTGAGCCACTCAGCTTCCTATTCCCCTTGAAAACAACTGGTTTGCTTTTTCTGAGTTTCCAGAGCCCTGTGTCTGGGGAGGGGAGGCCAACTTCTCTTCCAGCTGAGGATGTCAGGTCCACACATAGAATGAGGGTGGGAGGGATGGAACCTGTGCAATACACCACTGGAAGGCAGCAGTGAGAACAGACTCCAGGACCAGAGTCCATGGGCTGTATAAGACCAGCTTCTTCTGAGTCCTTCTCCCTCAGTGCCTGGCATGTGTCTGGCATCTCTCAGCAGGACCCTGAGATGAGGTGAAGCTCTATCTCTAGGTCCTAGAAAGGGGCTTGGGAGAAGAGCTTAGAAGCTTAGATTTCAGGTGGGCAATGAAAGGGAGGTTGTGGAAGGGCGGGTCCATCTTCAGGCTGGGCTGTGTCCAGCTCCATTTTATTCTTGTCAGCTCTGTGGACCAAATGGTCACTGTGCCGCTCGGGCCTATATCACATCACTGAGGGGACACTGAGGGGACAGCTGGGTGAGCCTTTATGTTTAGTAGTGGCTGACCTAAGAACTGCCCACCTTGGAACCAGCAGGGCAGCAGCAACACATATGCACACACATGTCAGCAGAAAGAAAATCTTATCTAGAAGTTTGCGATTGAAAATCCAAAAAGAAGTCATTTTCATTTCAGCCTGTGTGCAAGTGTTATGATTCATGAAATAGCATAATTTCCATTATAAATATGTGTGGAAACCCCAGACCCTTCTCGTTGGGTAGGGCATCTACATGTCTTCATCCGGCCCTGATGACCCCCACCCTGAGCTGCTGGAGGACTCCTTCGTGGTCCAAATGGTCCCTTCTGAGCCATGAAGTCCAGCCTTGAGCGAGGGGAAACTGACTTGATCATTCGGCAGTCACTGTCTCTGCTGGATGTTGGATGAAACCCTGACAGTGTCAACATGAGGAACACACAGTTTCTAAGATGGATTCCAAAGTCAAGGGGCTGGAGGAAGGAGTGCCTTTTCTCCCAAGAGGCCAGGTGTAACCTGGTCTCTGCCTGCTGCTCTGACTTCCTTTTCACTGCCCTCGCTGACTGTACCCCAGCTTCACGGCCTCCTGTCTGCCCCTTGAACATGTCTCATGGTTTCTCCCATCCCAGGGTCTTTGCATTTGCTGTAAGTTCTACTTGAAAGACTTTCCTGGTTTTCTACTTTGCTGGCTCATCTTTTGATTATTGTTGCAAAGCCCTCCAGAAAGTCTTCAGTTACCTCTTGCCTTCTCTGAATCATTCTTTTTTTTTTTTTTAAATCACACCATCCTAATCCTTCCATAGGATTATTTTCTCTATCTGAAATGATATCACCTATTTCCTACTTATCATCAGCCCCCTCCCCCCACTGTGAGCCCCCGAGGGCACAGGAGAGTCATACCCTGTGATACATATGCTGTAGCCTCGCACACGACAGGAACTTAATAGAGATACTGCTGAATGAATGAATGAGTGAGTGAGTGAGTGAGTGAATGGGGAGACACTGGGAGAGGAGCATCCAGGAAGCATGGGGAGCCGAGCGTTTGGGCCTCAGCACCCTGCCGCAGGCAGACTGTGTCTGTCTACGCCTGGGGTGGGGAGGCCTTGCTCTTGCAGGCTTGGAAGTGGGGGGAGCCCCATAGGACAACCAGCCTCAGGGCATGCATATTGCAGAAGGCTCATTCCTTGAATATTAACTCGGTGCTGGACTGGCAGCCCTGACTGTTTCTGAATTTTTCACTGTCAAGGCCAATGGCTGACTGAAGATGGGGGCTGGGAGGACAGAGAATCTGCATCCAGAAGGCCACACACTTCTGTGAGTGTCCTACGCAGCTGCTTAGGCACAGGCTTGCTCCCAAGTGGCTGTGCATGGTGCTATGTATGCAGCTGCAGCTGCATGTCTCAGCCTGAACATGTTCCGCCTTCAGCAGGGCCTGTGGGGCACAGAAGTAAATTAGGTTTTACATGCCATTACTTCCAAGCTGAACTGAGGGAAGGGAGGGCTCTAAGAGATCATTGAGTCCTACTCCCCCCAGTGTGCAGGTAGGAAAACTGAGGCCCAGAAAGGAGAGGATGCTTGAGGTTACACCATGAGTCCTTGGAGAAGCAGGCTACAGCTTAGTGAACAGTGAGCACTTAAGGGGAACTGGCACTGTGCTGGGCACTGGGGACTCACTACAGCAGAGAAGCCCATGGTCTAAGAAAAGGGGCTGGGAGAAGACAGACAGCCATGGGCATAAGCAGCAGGCTGCAGGGGCAGAAGGCTCTTCTCTGCCTTGCTGGGAGGGTATCAGACAAGACAAGGAAACACCCTGGGCTTTGAAGACTAATTGAAAGCTCAGCATATACAGAAAGGGGAAGGGACTCCAGGCAGAGGGTGCCACATAAGCAAAGGCATGGAGGCATGAAACAGCCTGGGAAGTCTGAAGAATTGCAAGGAGTGCGTTTTGGCTGGAAAGGACCGTGCAAGGATGGGCTGCAGAGATGAGGCTGTGAGGGAGGTGGGTTGTGACCCCTGCGGCCCTTGTGGGCCATGAAAGGGGTGGGGGTTTTACTTTATTCCAGGGGCTATGGGGCAGCCACTGAAGCAGATTTGAATGTTAGAAGGATTTCTGTAGCTACCATGTGGAAAAGTGAATTCATAAATGCATTCTGAGCAAGTACTTACTATGTGCCAGGCGCGACAACTGGGCCCTGAGGATCCAGTTCTGAACGAGGCACACAGGTTTCAGCTCTGTATTGGAGATGTACACTGACAGGTGGAGCAGGCAGGAATCTTGGCACGCAAACAAGAATACCGTTTCTGTACTCTGTAAACCAACTCCAGTCAGGCTCACTGTAAGCCCTTTCCAATGAGTTGGCACAAAATTCCATCTCAGGCATTACTGGGCCCCTCCCTCCTGCTCCCTAGGCTCGTGAAGGACCTGCTTGTGCAGAAACCTATGGGCTCCTCCTGTGCACCTAAGCGTGGAGGAGGTGCCTGCTGTCCTCAGTCACAGTGGTCACACAGACATGCCCTGTTGCTCTAGTCCACATGGTGCCTGGAGATTCAGTGACTCTGCTGCTACCCTGCTACTTTGGGAAACTGAAGCCAGTACCCCAGGGCCTGGGCTCCAGCCTCCCCAGGTGCATGCCGCCCATCCCTCAGCCCCCGTCACCCATCAACGGAGGACCCGCCCCTTCTGTCCCCTGTGCAGCCAGTCCTAGCACAGTTGCTTCCAGAAGGTTACTTTTTCAGAAGTCAGAACACTACGCCAGACTTCAAGCAGCTTTTGTGTTCAGCCCAGTGCACTTCCCCGAGGCTGGGAAAATCAAAGGCCTTGGCTACCAGCTTGGAAGCGGAAGAGGGAAACAGGGGAGCAAAGCAATTCCTGTCTCAATAAGTTGCCCTGCCTCTAGAGTGACTGGGCAGTTAAAGATCCAGGCTGCGGCTGCTCTGTGAGGGCAAGTGTGTACCAGCGGCCTGTGGGACCACAGACAGGCACCTAATTCACAGCTGGGGGACAGGAAAGACCACCTAAGGGGAAGAGTTACTGCCTGATCGAGCCCTAAAGGCAAAGATGAATATCGAGGACTGCCCTGCCTGTATGGAACGCAGAAAGAGCCCTTGGGAGTGAGGCCAAGGCTGCAGGAGGTGGGGCTGGGTCGTGAAGGGACTCCTAAGTACTGAGCCACGGCTTGGAGGTTATCTGGAAAAAGAAAAGCCACAGAAGTATTTTAGTCAAGAGAGTGACACAACCAGATTTGTATTAGAAACACCAAGCTGTGAAGAATGGATGAGGAAGACAGCAAAATCGGAGGCAGAGAGAGCAGCTGGCAAGTGCTTAGAGGACCAGTGGCTGGGAACGAAAGCAGCAGGTTCCAGAGATAATCGCCAGGAAGCAGCAGAGGAAGGCAGACCTTAGGGTGGCTCCCATTCTACCTGGGCGCGTCCCGGAGGTGAAATACACTGGGCGCGAGGGTGGTGGGCAGGCGCCAGAGGGACACCTAGGGGGAGGAAGGATTCCGGTGCTGGCCCCACCCTACCTCTGCACCCCGCGATTCCTAAACTTCCCACTAGATGGTGCCGGGAGAACGGGCTCCGCCTCCCACGCCTAGAAGTCTGGGCCTCAACTGGACCTCAGCAAACACGGCGTCCTGAACTCGCCACGACAGCATATGTGTCCAGCTGTCCCAACGCCCCACGACCGTGGCCTCGGCACCCAGGGCTCTGGGGTAGGGATATCGGCCTAGAGACCTCTGCCACGGGCCACGTGTGCCTCCCCGTGCCCAAATATACACGGCTTTTTCTGGGGCCTCCAAGACTGCCTGGCTCCTGCAGATACGTCCTGCAGCTTAGAGGCTTCCAGGGACCGCGCCACTGTCGTCTTCTCACCCTTTAGCCCCGACACTCTTCTCCCTGACCCCACGCAGGGGAAGCTTGTTCCTCTCCCCTCAGATCCATTCCCTTGCATCTACACCACTCTGGACCTCGGGACAGGAAGTAGAGCTAGCCAGGGCAGGGCGGGGCCACGTAGGAGGCGGAGCCTATGTGGAATCCTTGTAGGCACCCAGACAGTGGGTGCGGCCCGAGAGGCCCGGGGCGTGGTCAGTAGAGGGCGTGGTCAGGGTAAGGCTGGGGGCGTGGCCGGCGGCCGGTTTGGGTGGGGATCCAGAGAACCTGGCAGCTCCCGGGCTCTCCCTCCCTAGCCAGTTCTTTCGCCGCCGCCCGGCTCGCCCGGGCTGGCGTCTCCTAAGCAGACACAGACCGTCCAGAGGCTGCTGGCCCTACTTAACGGAGGTA